AGTAATATTGCATTAATTCCAAAGTTAACATAAAAAAATTCCCTTCGTATTTCTAATTTTCATCCAACGTCCCTTCTTCCTGGTTTCGGGTCATATCAGTCCTTTCTGTCCATTACTTAGTCCATCAATCTGGTGTTCTGATGTCCGAGGCTCTTAAGTCTCTTCTAGGCCCCTTCTGCAGATTTTTTTGTTCTTGTTTGTACTTACGCAGTTCTTTGTCTATTGTTAGTTTCTGAGGGAGTGGGTCTCCGGAGGGTTCCATCCAGTAATAATTTCCATTTTTCTTCATCTGATTGTCCCCTTCGCCCCAGTTCCACTCCCAATCCTCATCTTTGTAATCCAAAAAGTATTTGTCCAAGTAGTTGTTCACCTGTTTCAGAGTCCCACTAGAGTAGAAAGCTTCCTTGACTTCAAATACTTCCCAGCACTCTCCATCTTCCAAGGCAATAGCTTTTGTTCCTGTAGAACTTTGAATCTTACCATTTGTGTTGTATAGGGCAGTGTTTCCCAACCTTTTTTGGGCAAAGGCACACTTGTTTCATGAAAAAAATCTCGAGGCACACCACCATTACAGCCCCGTGACATCAGCGCGCAGCGTCACACCGGGAGGGACATGAATTGCTAGCAAATTACATAATCACCTCCTTGAAGGCTGGCTCATCTTCTCCGAAGGCAGAACCCCATTAATTAACAGCACAGACTCACACCATAGCCAAGACGAGGGGGAAAACCTCAGTCATGCACAGTCATGCACATGTGGGGGCTAAATGAGGACGAAGACCGGGCAGAGAGCAGGGTTCAAATCACCCCACCTGTCCAGGACAATCCCTGGGTGCTCCCTTGGGCCATTCGCCTGACCCACCTCGCAGGGCTGTTGTTGCGAGGATAACACGGGGAGAACCACGCGCGCCCCCGGGAGCTCCTTGGAGGAGAAAGCGGGCGATGAATGCAATGCACGAAATATATGAGAGGCGACCAGGTTTTGCAGGTGAGGGGCCCCCGCCAGCCTCCGCTTCCAACACCCGGCGCAACGACGCCGAAGTTCCCCCCGGGCTCGGCTCGGGGAGCAGCGCTGCTCCCCCCCGGCTCCCCTTCGCCCTCCCGGCTCTCTCTGCCGCCCACTGGGGACCCCCCTCACCTGCCAAGTCCAGAGCGCCGGTGGAAGTTGCATGCATGCATGCAGGGCGCCGCGTTGCCATTGCATTGCACTGCACTCCATGCAACGCCTGCACGCATGCATTGCCTTGCACGCCCACCAAGGGGTCTCCCCGCGGTCCGATGCGTCCCCTCCGGCGCGGATGCAGCATTGCAAAAATAAAAAACCCCGACGCAGCCCTACCTGGGGGGCAGCCTCCGCCTCCGCCGCTCCGCCTCCGCGGGGATCCCCGGCCTCTATCCTGCCGCCCGATCTCCGCGGGGGCGCAGGCAGGCTGCGCGGGGTCTGCGCGGAAGAGCCCCTGCCCGCCCGGCCGCCGCCGCGCTCATTCCATGGCCGGGAGAAGAGTGCTTCAAACAAAACGCCCGGCCCGCCAGGCCACGCTGGGAAATGTAGTTCGTGCATCCCGCGCAGGCGCGGAGCCCAAGGGCGAGGGGACTACGGATCCCGGCAGCCCCCGTGCCGGGGACGGAGGGGGAGAGGCCGGGTGCAGGGATGGAGGGACGGGTGGGCGAGCGAGCGAGTGAGTGGCAGCTGCCAAGCCTTGGCCGAGAGCCAGGAAGGGCCTCCCCGGAGGAGGAGGAGGGAGGCGCAGAGTGGGAGGGAGGGAACCCCAGGGGTCATCTAGTGACGGCGCCCCAATCGAAAATTTGACTTAAAAAAAAATCTTTCAATTTTTTAATTTTTCCCGCGGCACACCAGGCAACATCTCGCGGCACACTAGTGTGCCGCGGAACAGTGGTTGGGAAACACTGGTATAGGGAATAGCTACTACCTCTTCCTTCTCCATCTGCCCTTGAACTTGCCTTGTCAAGCCGGATTCCTGAGTTGATCGCTGTGTAACTTCTTTATCCTTGTTCCCTGTTAAATCATATTCACTGGCCACAGCACTCATAAAGTCCAATTTTTCATTCATCAGGCTCATTTTCACGGACAGCTGCTCCAGCAGAGCATTAGTCCTGTCAAGGGCAGATGCCAAACCTTCCTGCCAAGATATTTCTGTTCAAAAACAAGGTCAAACGGCTGTTCCCACGGTCCAAAACCTCACATATGTAAGCTGAAACCGCAAACTGACAGGCTCCCTCTAGGGGACACAATTTCTATTTGTATCCATTTTTCAGGAAAATATCAAATAAAGAAAGTTACTTTCAATTTCAAAGTCCTTTCAATTTCAAATACTTTGTTTCTTTAAAGAGCAGAGATGCAGAAGGTGGCATTGAAGTTAGTTTGTTTCTCTTTTATTTTATTTTTTCTATCTGTCAAAATACTCCACTTTCAATCAATGGACGTCTCAAACAGATTCTGTCCCAATACCCCGTCCCCAGGTATGGGACGGTAGAAACTTATATTCCTTCTCTCACTTCCTGCAGCATTAAACAGTCAAACTCCCCCCCCCCTTTTCTCCTGCTTCCAAGGGGGGTTTTGTTGATTATGGGTGCAGGAAATTTCCAACTTTAAAAAGACTTTTTAAGCTATTAGGTTGCAAGGTCTTTGCTTCAATCCGTATACAAGAACGGGAGGCGGACTTCCTGTTTACACCTTCCCGCTTCGTGCCTATTTAATAAAATTTGCAGGTTCTTAATCCGATTCTCCGTTTTTACTCACGGGTACTTGATTTAGATGCGGGTGGCACTAGGGACGCAGGTGGCACTGTGGGTAAAAGCCTCAGCGCCTAGGGCTTGCCGATCGAAAGGTCGGCGGTTCGAATCCCCGCGGCGGGGTGCGCTCCCGTTGTTCGGTCCCAGCGCCTGCCAACCTAGCAGTTCGAAAGCACCTCCGGGTGCAAGTAGATAAATAGGGACCGCTTACTAGCAGGAAGGTAAACGGCGTTTCCGTGTGCGGCTCTGGCTCGCCAGAGCAGCGATGTCACGCTGGCCACGTGACCCGGAAGTGTCTGCGGACAGCGCTGGCCCCCGGCCTCTTGAGTGAGATGGGCGCAAAACCCTAGAGTCTGTCAAGACTGGCCCGTACGGGCAGGGGTACCTTTACCTTTACCTTACTTGATTTAGAGTCCAAATGTCATCAGGAAAAAGTCAGCGCTCTCCGGCGATGGCTGCGCGGCTTCCCTCCATGGAAATAGCGATCGGTTCGATGCACCGCGCTGCTCACCCCACTTCACTCCGGAGCCCCAAAAATGGGTTTCCTCGTGAGTAGGGGAGGCGCTCTTGGTGCTCTGCCGAACCCCACGGTCCCAGGCTTCCTCCGCTTGGGATTTCTAGCGGGCCCCCGCCTTCGCCGCGGCGGGAAGCCCCAGTTTCCACGGAGCCCGTTTCTCTGGTCGGAGGAACTCTGCAATTCGCCGATGGTGCTAACCCGGAAGTCTTTTTTAATTTTGTAACTCTTTTTTGTCTGTAAAATCTTAATAAATATCATTTTTTAAAAAAAAACAAAAAAACACACACACACCCCACTCACACATAAAAACAAAGATCACCACAGCCAATCACAAATAAACAACCACACCCTAAGCCAACCCCAACCTCTCTCACCACCAAAGGAACACAAGTGAACAGCACAAGAAACGTTGACACCAAACCCTACATAAATTAAGCATAATAGAAACATCGCCACCTGACCACACCCCTACCCATCTTCCCCCCTCCCCCTTCCCCCCTCCCCCTAATGTCTCAACAAATGAAATGGATTTGTAAAAATGTTACATGGAAAAAATACGAGAGACATTACACATACTTCTGTAAAACAAGATAACCTTTAATTTAAAAAGAAAAGAAAAGGGGGAAGCCCAGGATAGGCAACAAGCGAGCAAGCATTGAAAGTGTGGCACTCAAAACGAAAATCCCCCCCCCCCCGCCGCCAAAGTACATTCAGATTCCAAAAAAAGTTTGAAAACCTGAACACTCATTTCCGGGTTTGAAGCATTCGGGTTCCAAGTAGTTTGTGAACTAAGCTGTTCAAAAACCAAGGTACCACTGTACTAGGTTCTATAAAAGCTTGGGTGCAATAATTGGGCAACGGTCCTTTTCAGTTTTAGGGACTTTGTAGTTTAGACAAAAGCAAGTAAGAGATAATATGATAGAAGTTTATCAATTAGTGCCATGGCATGGAGAAAAGTGGATAGGGAACAATTTCTCTCCCTCTTTGTGAACATCTGAATGAAGCTGAATGTTGGAAGACGCTTCAGAAGGAAAGGCAAAAGAAAGTACTTTCTCACACCATTGCACAGTTAAACTCAGAACTCTCCCACAGGAGGCCAGGAATGGCCACCCACTTGCGGTGACTGTTAAAAGAGGGATTAGAAAATTCAGGGAGGAGAAGTCTAGTGATGGTGGCTATGCTCACCAAGTTGGTGGCAGCAGGGCTTCTGAATAACTGTTGCTGGAGACCACAGGAGGGGAGAGGCCTCTTGTGCTTGGGTTCTGTTGGCTACTGTAAGAACAGAATGCTGGACTCGCTGGGACTTTGGGCCAGATCCTGCAGGCTTTTCTTTTGTTCTTAAGAGAAGTTATAGAAACTTGATAGGAAAAAGAAGGGGTTGTCTCCAACTAAGTTCTGCTTAGAGAAGACCCACAATGTGTCTACTCCTTTAGTTGTGTGTATTAATTTCTTACGACAGCTCTGCCAGGCTGGTTACCCCAAGAGAGACTGGGCAAAGCTCCCCTCGGCAAGCATTATGACCTAGTGGGGTGGCCAACATCCTAATCACTGACAGGATTCTAGTTTTTGAATCCATTACCCTCTGGTCTTTGGGGAAGGCTGCAACAAAATCGCCAACCTGCAGTGAAACATGAGCATCTTTGTGCTTGCAGATACATGTCTTGTTCTGTTCCCACCAGCTTGCCTCTCTCTGTGAATGAAGTGAATGGTTACTTTTCTCTCTGCCCAGGACCAGGCTGGCCTCTCTCTTTGGACAGGATCAGACAACTACAGAATCTGGAAATGTGCTCTTCCAATACATGCCACCCAAGCAGCCTAAAAAAGGTCAACTAGCTACCGGTAAGTAAACTGTTCACAATCCCTAGGAACATAAGACGAGCCCTTGTGGACCATCTAGTCCAACCTTTGGTTCTGAAGCCCCACAGAATCAACTGGGTTGGTCAACTCCCGAGTAGTGCTGGGGAGAGACTCCTGACCTGGGGCCCCAGAAAGGTGCTGGTGGTCTGTATTCACCACACTGAGGAAGATGGACCCAGTGGTTTGATGCCATACAAGGCAACTTTCTGTTTTTCATTAATCTGAGCAACTGGCTTGGTCCCAAGACAAGGGAGCTAACTTGGCCTGATGTTTGCAAGCAATGTTCTGTTTGCAACAGAGCACTTACCCTTCTCATGTGCTGCTCCAGCTGCAGGTCTGCCCACCCAGAAGCATCCTCCTGCAGCTGCTGCTGCTGCTGCTGCTGCACCCACTGCTGTGCCCGCTGCTGCTGCTGCTCCTGCGCCCACTGCAGCAGTGCATTCAGTCTTCTTTGCTACAGTTGTTCATGCATATTTGTTGTGAGTACTACAGTAGAGGGGATGAGCTGCAGTGTGTTCTTGCTACCCAAGTCCTGTGCTCACGTCTTTTGCAATCATCTCTCCATCTTGCCTGCCTTCTTCGGAAAGAGGTGGAACTGAACAACAGTTGGGGGTGGTCGATTAGGGCAAATGGGGCACCGCCTCCCCAACCTCAGCCTGCCCCCACCTGCCTGTTGTTGTTTTTTTACTTCCAGCCAATCAGGCTGTGGATATCATTGACTCTGGCTTGATGTGCTGGCTCAATTGCCTTATGCCACACCAGTGAAAGCAGGCCCAGTAGGAAGGCACCCCCTCATTCTGCCCTCAGCTGGCTCCCACCTACCTGCCTTCTTACGTCCAACCGATCCAGAGGGGAGGACTTCCTGTCAGCTTCCTCTTCCCCCTCAGTCTCCATGCTGCCATGGTAGGACAAAGCAGGGAGGAAGATGGGGACAGCCCTAGACTTAGCTGGCCCTTCTTGTCGTTGGCTCTGGTGCCACCTAGAGTTGGGCTCCCTGCATTCACCCCAATGAGGCACTAGCCAACACCGAACTGAAATGAGGATAGAGACCTCCTGGGATGGGGAGCTTGTGGGCTGATAAAATGTTGCTGGGCTGCTACCGCCCACCCCCCACCATTGGCCAGATGGCCTGGGCTGATGGGAGTTAAACAACCCCTGGGAAGTCTTTGTAAAGAGCTGCTTAATATAACCGATGGGGTTGGCATGGTGGCAACAATTGTGGGAAGCTAAGAGGTGTTCTCTTCTCATTCCAGTACCAATGGGAAATATGTGAAACATGGCAAGTATGGAGCAGCTGTAGTGGGCAGCAATGCAACCAAGGAGGTAAGAGGAGGAGGTGTGGTGTCTTGAAGTAGCCTGGCCTTCTTCATCCTGCTGTCCTCCAGATGTTTGGGACTACAGCTGCTGTCGGTCCTAAACATCTGGAGGATACCGGGTTGATGTAGGTTGGGCTAAGGAAATGCTTCCCTTTGTCTGAATCCTGGTTTCCTGATGGTGTCTTACTCTGGAAGTTGCTGTTTTGGCTCCTGTCTCTTTCTGCCCAATCAGCTCACAAGGGTTATAGCTCCCATTTTTCTTATTCTGACCTCACTTCTCTACAGAAGGTATTCGCAGCAGGGAAGGGGCTGTCACTCAGCAACACAGCATCCACTTTGCAGACAGAAGCTCCCAAATCCAATCGCTAGCTCCTCTGGGTAGGGCTGGGGACACTGCTGCCGGTCAGAGTAGGCAGTCCTGAGCTAGAGAAACCAGTGACTTGATTCAGTCTAAGGCAGCTCCCTGTGCTCTTATTTAACTAGAACTAGAATGTGGACTAGAATCTTGACAAAAGAAGGGCCTAGGGGATATTGTGTGCGGAGTGGATAGAGGGAGGTGAGACAGTAACTTTGTCGTGGCTTGAAAAATCAATAAAGGTTCCCATCACACGCAAAAAAGGAAGGGGGTTTCAGCAGCTTATGTTGGAAAAGGGATTCAGTTTTTCCAGCCTCTGTCCTTTTCAGCTCAGTCAGTAGCTCTTCAGTGGTTTGTTCTACCCCACTTTGCTATGAAAGGATTCACAGGTGTTTTACAATCAACAGATATAATATGTCAGGAAACATATGCGTTTATTCCAGGAAGACTCTGGTATGATTGCCTTGTCCTCCTGCGCCGTTGCAGGTGAGGGTGGTGGGACAGGATAAAACACTGGGATGTCATTCTCGTTTAGCTAATTAGGCAGAAAAGGACAGATCTCACCCCTTGGTTTCTCCAGGTGTAGGGAGCCTTTGGTCCTCCAGATGTCCCAGAATGACAGCTCCCGTCATCCCTCTCCACTGGCCATGCTGGCAAGAGCCAATGGGTGTTGTAGCTCAGCACCAAAGGCTCCCCATGCCTGCTCCATTGTAACGAAGTCACTCCACATGTAACTAAGCCAGGCACCTGCAACCAAAGCAATTCCTACGATGAACACCTCTGATGTATTTGTATGTTAATGTGTCATTTGGGTGTTGGGGTGCTGTGGAAATGCTACATGGTATAAGAAGAGCTCCAGGTGCTTTTGAAAAGAGCCAGCTCCGTAGTTTTTGGTTCCTCACTTTTGCTCTTGTTTTCTTCTGTCCTTCCGTCTCTTGTGGAATCCAGTACAAAGTGCTTCTTTATATCAGCAAGCAGCAGCAGATTGCGACCGCCAGCATCCATGCCTGTTTTGTATTCACGGTAAGCTTTGACGTTAAGACCTGCAAGGACCATGGCATGGGCTGAAGCTAAGCAGAATTCTTTGGTGGTTTGAAATGCACATTGCATATGAGGTCTCAGCTGTGGTCAATTAATTTCAGTGGGTCTGCTTTCAGCAGGGCTAATGCTTGTTGCAACCCATTAGATTTGAATTGTGTTAGAACCAAGGGGCCCCTCTATGGTTAAAACGCTTACCTAGAGGTAACAACGTAAAGTAGATGACATTCTGCCCTCTGTCCTACTGTAGCTTACATCCCTTGGGGTAGCCCTCCACCCCGAAATCCTATAGCATTTTTCCATTTCTAAACATGACACACTACATACGTTGATGTTTGTGTGTGTGTACTTAGAGTAGACTCACTGAAATTAATGCACCAAAGTTCATCATGTCCATCAATTTTCATGGGTCTGCTCTGAGTAGGGCTAACATTGGCACACAACCCAAAGTCTTTAGCAAGACCCATCAGGAAGAAAGTTGTTTGGAGCAGAGGCTGTCTGCTGCTCAGAATTCCACTTTCTCTTTTCTCTTTCTGCAGGTGCATCCCAACAACTACTGCACATTTTATGATGATCAGAGGCAGATTTGGTCCATCATGTTTGAATCAGAAATGGCGGCTGTGGACTTCAGCAAGCAGGTGCCAGAGGCGTGCATTGCATTGTGGGGTGGGGGGTGACTGTCCTGCAGACACTGAACCAGTGTTCGTGGGAGCTCAGCTCTCTTGCATCAATCACCAGATGCTTTCTCTGCCAACTACTAAGAAGCATCCAGGGAGGGCAAGAAATAATGGTGTAGCCAGTTAGGGCCTTTTCAGGCCCCTGGGGTCTTCAGCCAGTGCTGCGCTGGGCCAGATTGCATAGGTGCGAATGACAATGCAGGCTAATGACACAAAGGGCTTGGTTCTTCCTCCTTGCAGCTGTGCATTGCCAAGTATAACAGCAGCCAATCTCCTGACTCAGTGCTGTGCCAGGATCTTGTTCTCGGAGATGGCCAAGGTGTGGCGACTGGAGATGTCCTGGAGATCACTTTTACAGGCTGGCTGTTCCAGAACGGTAGTCTTGGGCAGGTGAGACCTGGCAGAGGGGGTGGCTGGGGATGATGGGGGTTGAAGTCTCTAGCAGCACTGCATGGCCACAGCTTTCCCACTCCTGGTTTATAGATTGCATACAGCCCTTTTGTCCCACAACCCCATCCTTTTGCCTTTCAATAACATTGCAAGGAAATGAAACAGGAGAGGGACTTGGTGAGGCTTACCCAGCTTGCTTCACAGCTCAATGTGCATTTGACCCCAACCATGCTTTTCCATGGGGGTTGCATTGGTTGCTCTCCAGAGGTGGGGCCATTCCCAGCCTTGCCACCCTTTCTCAACTGGGGATGCTGGGGAGGGAACCCAGGACCTTCTTCCTGGGAAGCACATGCTGTTGGGTCCTAAGCTACACCTGTCTCCAAGGTGTAGATCCTATTTCTCAACCATAATTCTACCCAATCTGCAACATGGGAGGCACCGCTAGGTAGGGGATTCAACATGGAAAGCTGCCTTGCACTGCATCAGGCCACTGGTCTAGGTTGGCATCGCCCACATTGACTGGCAGTAGCTCTCCAGGCTTCCAAGCAAAAGCCTTTCCCTGACCTTCCTTGGAGATGCCAGGCTTGAACCTGGAACCTTTTGCCTGCAAAACAGGTGCTGTGTCCCTGAGCTGTGCCCAGTCCTTTGATACTCATTGCTGTTGGCTCAGCAACTGGAGTAGCGGAACGTGAACCTATTATCTTCTGCGTTAAAAGTAATTTCACCCCATCGACCTTCCACTTTTGTAACAGGTTTTCGCCTCGAATGTAAATAAAGAGAAGCTGCTCCGTCTGAAGCTAGGCTCTGGCAAAGTCATCAAGGTAAGATGAGGGGGGAGTGTGAGTGGGTGTCTAAGGTAGCCTATTGTACAAAGGGAAAAATTACATTCGTTGCCCCTCCCACTTTCCCCTCTAGCCCCGCCCACTCCTGGCATGCTCCTCCCCACCAAGAAGCTTGCCCCGGAGGGAATGTTTTTCATCCCTGCTTTCAACTACTTTCCTCAAGACTGCAAGAGAACTGTCAGTATTCCTGTGCCCTGCTCTCGACCAGCCTTTACCAACCTGAGAAACGCACACACAGATCCTGTGGACTCCAACTCCCATCATTCCCAGCCAGCGCATGCTGGTTGGAGTTGGAGTCCAAGGTATCTGGACGACATCAGGTTGGCGAAGGCTGTGTGGTTCTGGCACTTAGCTAAGGCGGTCACCCAAACCTGTTTTCTGCTTGGTTCTCCATTTCTGGAACTTGAAGGCCTGGGAAGATGGAATGATTGGCATGAAGAGAGGAGGCAGGCGGTTCCTCCTCATCCCGCCAGCATTGGCTTACAGGCCTTTGGCAGAATCTGAACGCATTCCTCCAGACTCGACCCTGGCCTTTGAGGTGGAAGTCAAACGGGTGAGTATGTCTTCCTCCCAACATGTTAGCAACCAAGAGAACCTCAGAAGGTTGTTGGGTGGTCAGTCTACCGCCTGGATAAGGTTCTACAAATGGAGGCAGTGGTTGACCAGACTCCATGATGCCCCTCTTTTGCTCCCTTAGGTGTGGTTTGCAAAGGGTGCTGACTCCGCCGGACAGAGCCTGGGCCCCAAGGACTCCCTCACACCTTCACCAGCACCACAATCAGAAAGCCCCGCTACAGACCCAGCCTGGCTGACTCCTCCTACACCTGCTCCAAAGCCAGGGTGAGAAATAAATTGAGGGTGCTCTTAGCTTTTAAGCCTTCCATTCTCCCAGGTGTCCCATCCTAACTCTGCAGTAAACAGGTTGCCACCTCTGTGTTTGAGGCTTTCGGCCTTCACCTCAGCTGCATAACTCAGACCCCATCTGCACTGTACCACCTTGAGATCTACGGATGAAATCCTGTATACAAATTCAATAAATCACAATAAATCATACGTTCCAAATAGCGCCATGCCATTTTCAACAGCTGTGGCTTCTTCCAAAGAATCCTGAGGGCCACCTTGTCTCATAGACAACCTGGCAGGTTCCACATTCCAGGGCTGGGCTGGGGCTCCAGTGGACAGAGCAACAGATGCTGCTCCTGCCTTCTGTGCAGCCAGAAAATACACCATGTGGGGCTTCTTTCTGCACACACCTCTCCCTGTCAAGGGAAGCAAGGTGCACTGTCACCGTTCAAGGACACATTCCAGCCAGGCTCAAGCTCCCTTGGGGAGTTCATGAGGTGGGGTAGGTGAGGGGCTTGGCCGAGGCAGAGTCCCAAAGGCCAGTTGAGTATCCTACCCTTAACAGACTCTTCCTACTGTGCTCAGGTTTGTTAACTCCCTTCCTCCCATACTGCAGGGAGCCTAAAGCTCAGGTGGCCTGGCTCAATCCCCAGGCACCCCAAGGCTGCTGCCAGTCAAAGTGGACAGTACTGGGCTGGATGGACAAATGGAGGAATACAGGAATATAGCCAGTGTGGGGTAGCAGTTAAGAGGGTCTGTCAGAGTAAGATCTGGGAGACCAGGGTTCCAATCCCCACTCTGCCTTGAAGGTGACCTTGGGCCAGTCACTCTCTCTCAGCCTAAGCTACCTCACAGGGTTGTTGTGAAGATAAAAAAGGGAGGAAAACTATATACCAGTATTTGAGCTCCTTGGAGGAAAGATGGAACATAAAATAAGAACTATTATGATTCTGATATAAAGGATAGAAGCTCTCCTAGGGTGGCTTTTGAAAAATGAGATCTACATATGATACTGCCTTGATTTCTTTTTTTACATGAGAGGATGGAAAGTATCAAATCATGCAAACATTCACGTGTGCAAAAAACAATTCTTCCCCCAGCTATGTGGAGCAGAGCAACCTGATATTTGAGCAGAGCGATAGCTCACTCCAGAGCACCATGGAGCACACCCAGGCAAGGGTCCTACATGCTGAACAGGAGAAGGTAAGCCCTGGCATTGTTACAGCCACAACAGGAAGGCCAAGTGACTGAGGCTGTGGGGAGGGCAAGTGCTATCCCAGGAGTTCACAATCGCTAGTGCAGGTCACAATTCCCCTTTGCCTGCAGGCCAGAAATAAGTTACGTTTCTGAGCAGAAGCAACAACAAAATAGAACAAACAACTGGCTAGGTATACATGCACATACAGGTAAAAGATTCATAAGCTTCAGGTAATCCTTTGCAAAGCACCTCAGGTTGAATTTGAGAAAACAACAGAATGTCCCTTTAAAATTTAACACAGTGACTAAAAAAAAATGCACCACATTGGTCTACAGCAAGATCTCATTGGCTGCGTCACATGCCATGCTAAACTGTGGATTGGCATGATGTGAGCAAGCACAGTGAACGTCCCCCTCACTTCCTCCTATGCAGCCAAGAAGAAGGGCGTGAGAGTTTCCACTTCTAGGTAACTGCTGCTTCCTCTGTTGTCTGGACTGAGAACAGCCATTAATGTTAAGCAGAATTAGATTCTGAAGTTAGCTTATAGAAACAAACATTTGAAGTTCGTGTGTTTGATATTACCCATAGTTGATGTTAGCTGCAGCTCGTTGTCCCAGGCAACACAGCAAACCATGGCTGGGCATAAGTGTCCGGGTTCCTGGCCGCATGAGAGGAGGAGATGTAAGGGGAGAGCATGCAAGTCCAGGTTTGCTGTGGCCTGTTCTTGCTTGGGCGTCAGCGTGCAAACCCTGCCATTAAGGGATCTTCCATGCATCTTACCCTGAGGCCGCTGGGATTTTGAGTGATATAATCAGTCCTTGGACCACAGAATAAGCAGAGTGCTCTTAACCCAGAATGCCATTGCCTCTTTTGATAAAACTTTCTCCCCTCTTGCTGTTCTTGCTTCTGGTGGTGTTAACTCTCCTCTCCTTGTTGCCGATTTTCTCTCTAGCACATGCCGCCACTGGATCAGGGGTGGGACCAGGTGAGGCATTGTCCTTGGGTGTCCTGATCACCTGAGCACTTCCTTATTCCCTTCATACTTCATACTTTCCAGGTCACCATTTCATACTTTTAGCAGGGGGAAACTCCACGCCTTCTGCAGGTGTCTCTCATTGTGAGGCCTCTCTGTGCTTTGGCATCCCAGCTTCAGTGACAATGGGTTTTTCGAAATCAGGGGTGGGGGGGACTCCAGGCCCCTGGACCAAAGGCCACCTTCCAGGCCTATGTGCTTGGCCCTCAAAACTCCTTCCAAGCCACGCACCCTCACCAGTCCTACAATGCACCCTCCTTGAGTGCTTTTGCCTGGCTGGATCAGGCCCAAAGCCCGTCTTATTCTCACAACCAGATGTGAATCCTACAAGCAGGATCTGCGCTCACCCCACTTGCGATTCCCAGGAACAGCATGCTGCCTCCAACAGTGGAGGGAGACCCTAGCCCTTGTGGCTGTTGGCTGTGTATAGCTTTTCCTGCCCCATTGTTTTGTCTAATCCGCTGCTAAAGCCATCTAACTGTTTGGCCTTCATTTTATCTTGTGGGAGAGAGCTCTGCTGTGTGAAGATGTCCTTTCTTTTGTCTGTCCTGAATTTTCTGGGGAAAGCTTTTCTGCTCTCCATTTTATGCACCTTTGTCGTGCATGCTTTCTCCTGAACTAACTGAAAAGCCCAAGGCACCTCAGGTGCCTCCCCCTGCTCCTCATAGCCTTGCCAGTAGACCAGTTCTTCAGGGTGTTTCCTGGGAGACTCATTCTTAGCATTTGGGAGCCTCCGAAAGCACAGCTCTTGCATCCTCCCAGGAAACGTCTTGTGGGTTCTCCTTCCCCATATGTTCTCCTGTCTCTTCTGCTCCTTTGCGTTGCAGGTCAGGGTCACCGAGGAGCTAGCGGAAGCCACAGCACAGATCACCCAGCTGCAGCTGGAGCTGGCCCGTCATCAGAAGCAGGAGATGAATCTCCGCTCCCAACTGAATGAAGCCCTGGCAGAGTCGGAGAGGCAGAAAGCCCAGGTCAGCCGACTCCGTGCACAGCTGGCAGGTAAGGGAAGCTGAGCGGAGGCGCTGAAATGGCAGAAGAGCACTATCCAAACACATGCAGAGTTGTTTTATCATCGTAGGAAATTCTTTGGCTTGCTGGTAGGGATCCTGTGGCCCTCCAAGTATTACTGGCCTTCATCTCCCATGAGCCCCAGCAAGCGTAGCCAGGGGTGATGGGCGTTGGAGTCCAGCAATCTCTGGAGGTCCTGCTCCTTAGGGCCTCCTGCAGTGTAGCTGTTAAAAACTCAGACACAGTGGCGTAGCGTGGGGGGTGCAGGGGGGGCCGGCCGCACCGGGCGCAACATCTGGGGTTAGGGCAAATCCACAGGTTAGGGGGCGCAAATCCACGGGTTAGGGGGCGCAAATTACTTGCCTTGCCCCAGGTGCTGACAACCCACGCTACGCCACTGCTCAGACACACAATCTCCAAAAAGACTCTTGCCTTTAATTCCATCTGTTTAAAAAAGGCAAGCTTCTGATCTCTACAAACTTGATTGATTGTATTTCTATGCTGCTTTTTGTTGAACTGAATCTCCAGCTTACAAACAATAACATAATGTAACATAATAGAAAATGGGTTTGTGCAGATTCTGCACCTTCCTTGCCCTGCATGCAAGAGCAGAGCGGTGTAAGAGTGAGATATGTCTATAAACCCCATGATCATCACAATTATAACAAATAAAGGCTTGACATATCTCATTTTGCATGTCATGATTATCTCATATATTAGTTTCACCTTTTAAGTTGAATTACTGAAATAAATGAACTTTTCCACGATATTCTAATTTTTCAAGTTTCACCTGTATGTCTTTAAAGTTACACGGAGGCCCCATCCACACTATACAGCGTTATCATGCCACTGCAGTCAGTCATGGCTTTCTCCCAAGGAATCCTGGGAAGTGTGGTTCGTTCCAGCTGCCAATAGTTGTGTTGAAGTGGAGAGCCCTGCTTAAGCAGCCATTTCCAGCATAGTTTAACAGTTTGGGAATTGTAGCTGGGGTTTGTGGCAGACTGGGAAGTGTGGTTCATTCCAGCTGCCAATAGTTGTGTTGAAGTGGAGAGCCCTGCTTAAGCGGCCATTTCCAGCATAGTTTAACAGTCTGGGAATTGTAGCTGGGGGTGGTGGGAGACCGGGGTGTCCCACCACCTCTCAGCACCCTTAAGAGAATGTTCCCATTTCCCAGAATGTTTTGTGGGAAGCTGTGAGTGTTTAAAGCATATAGTGCAGATGGCGCTGTACTTAGGCTTAGCTACAGCAGTGGATGGAAACAGGGACATGTACTGTGGCGCAGGCTTCATCTGTCACTGGCTCTCTGCCCCACCTCCACAGAACATGAGAAGTTGTCTGACTTGAAACACAGATACCAGGAGGTGAACCTGATTGCGATGCAGTTGGAGGAGAAGGTGGCAGGCCTGGACGTAGAGCTGGCTTATCACCGCGTTGAAATTGAAAATCTGGATAAGGTAGTGTCCAGGGGTGACAAAAGTCATCACCAAGGCCAGAAGTGGCTTCCTGGAAAACTCTCTGAGATCCTTAGGATTATCCCAGTGCCCCCCACACACACCCAGCTTTGCACCCTTGACTGTTCTTTGCCTCCCTGGAAGATGCCCTTGAACCTGATCATGCTTCTTCTTTCATTCTTAAATGGAGGATTGAAAGGGACAAGTGGGGAAATTAACGTGTGTTGCTCCACCTACTTTTACTCCTGGCAGGCGGCCCCCAAGAAGTGATAGTCAGTGGAGTCTCATCTATTAGGCAAACAGGGCACTGCCCTCACCCAGCCACCACTTATTTGCCTTCTTCCTTACAGCCAATCAGGATGTGGCTCTGTCTGTCATTGGACTCCTTGCCTTCTGCCCCACCCACCTCAATGCAGTGTGGAAATGTGGCTTGCCTAATTGGTCCCAAACTTTTGGAAGGGCACCAGGTTGGCAGAGGCAACAGCAGTTAACAACAGTTTAAAATAGTTTACAGTCTCACAAATAAGGTATCTCCTAAAAATACACACTCTGTAACCTCTCTCTGTAACAAACCCTGAAGTGCTCTTGAAATAAGAAGTGTTAAGGAAAGTGGTGGGGGGACAAGCAGTAGAGAGAAATCTTAATCACATTCAGCAAAAGCAATGGCAATCCACACTTCTGTAACTTCAATCAGGAGTTGTTACCCATTGTCCTTTCTGATGTTGCTTCCCTGCCTTCTGACTCTTTGGCATCATCCTGCCCCACGTGAAGAAGATCATCAACGAGGTCTTCCAGTCCCTGCGGGGCCAGTTCAACTTAGAGGAGTCCTATACTGGCCAGGAGGTCCTGGGTATCGTCCTGAACGCCATCAAGGTACAGCCCAGGGCAGATGGATCCTGACACCTGAATAAGATGCAGATTGAGTGAACTGGTCTATCATTTCTCTTCCCTTTTGTATGGTTCCAAATGTCATGAGTTTGGGTGCCAGAGTTTTGGGTGCAAGATGCCCATAACTACTGGGTTTAGTAAGTGTTAGAATTTAATCACTGCTTGGAGAGTGAAACTGAAAGTCAGATGCTTAACAGCTGGACTCAGCTTCCTGTGTTGAGGAGATCGCTTGAGAGGTGGGCCATTAGAGAACTAATAATGAAGAAGATGATAATGATGATTATTATTATTATCATTTATTTACTTATTTGTTTATTTATTTTGTTTATACCCAGCCACTCTGGGTGGCTTCCAACACATATATAAAACATAGTCAAACATTAAACATCTTTTAAAAATGGAACACTTCACCAATTTGCAGAGGCCATGCTAACCTCTTTATCAATCCAATTTTAGTATACAGTATGTGCTGCAGACAGAGAGATGGGCCATCAGCAAGACAGACGCTCTACCAGCCAGCAGATGGGTGAAGCCCCACCCAGAGCTTTGAGATAGTGAGTTTGAAGAGAGTGCCAAAGTTTTGGTTAGGAGGAAGTTTTAGGATTTCAGTTGGCTATGGTGTGATCAAAAGAAAAAAGGCTTTCAGTCTGTTAAATGCAGCAAGCTGGAGAGGCAGGATCAGAGCACAATGCAGACTGACAGTTTGAATTAGAGGTAGCAGCAATGGGAAAAACGGGACTCTCTTGGAGTGTATGCTCCATTACAGGCTCAGGTGTAAATAAACTATATATCATTATGACACCACAGTCTACACTGTGCCTCATTTCCAAAGAAACACAGACTAAGTGCCTAGACCCCTGGAATCTTGCACCGGTCAGAGATTGGGGTGGCATGTAGCACCATATTACTAATCATGGGAGCAGCAAAGAGGGTGAAGCCCAGCTCTCTAGAAATAACAGGTTGTATCTAAGGTACTACAAAGTGAAAGTCACTTAGCTGTGCCTGTGTGGCTGAGTAGGGATTCAAACCCTGGTCTCCTGAGTCCTGGTTAGAGACCAACCATTACACATTACTTTCATCAGGGGCTGCAGTCTTTTTTGTGGCAAATAATCCCCCTCAAAAGGGACGCGGGTGGCGCTGTGGGTAAAACCTCAGTGCCTAGGACTTGCAGATCGTATGGTCGGTGGTTCGAATCCCCATGGCGGGGTGAGCTCCCGTCGTTCGGTCCCAGCTCCTGCCCACCCAGCAGTCTGAAAGCACTCTTAAGTGCAAGTAGATAAATAGGTACCGCTTTATAGCGGGAAGGTAAACGGCGTTTCCGTATGCTGTGCTGGTGCTGGCTCGCCAGAGCAGCTTCGTCACGCTGGCCACGTGACCCGGAAGTGTCTCTGGACAGCGCTGGCTCCCGGCCTCTTATGTGAGATGGGCGCACAACCCTAGAGTCGGACACGACTGGCCCGTACGGGCAGGGGTACCTTTACCTTTACCTTTAATCCCCCCTCCCCTCTACTTGTTCCAGACAACAACTCTGCAGCTGCTGGAGAGTCAGGAGGAGCAAAGGGGGAGCAGCAGCACCGAGGAGGAAGGACCTGCGGAAAGGAAGCAGCCAAGTGCCGCACCCCTTTATGGGGATCCCCACAGCAACTCTCTCCGAGAACCAGCACCAGTGGCATCCCCCGCTCCTTTGGCTAATCTGAAGGAAAGCTCAAGCAGTCCTCCATCCACCGCTCTTGAAGGAGCCCAAGACAGTCTGCTTTTTGCAGCTCCTGAGGCTCATTCTTCGGAAGCACCGGTTGAACAAACTTGTGCAGCCTCTGCTCAAACTGCAAGGCCGCCTCTCAGGCTCTCCGCCAGTATTGAGAAGGAGAGGCCAAGCACTCAGGGTGAAATGGACACAAAAGACACTGCCATTCTGGCACCTCCAAATCCAGCGGCGGATGAGACGGCACCTCCAATGGAGGGGCCCACAACGGGTCCAGAGGGCAAGGAGCAGAGTGGGGCAAGTCAGCACACCGCTGGCCCCACCTCTCAAGCTGCTGTAGCCGACAAGCAGCAGGACTTGGCTGGAGCCTCACAGCCAAGACCAGCGTCCAGCCCCATGGAAGCGGATTCCAGGTCTGTGCCAGGGCGGGAGGGGGACGGGAACTGTACCTATGATGGGTCTTATGGTACTCAGTGCCTTGTGTTCTGATCTGGGGCTGATCTGGATGGAGATGGGGTTTTTCTGTGAGCCTCCCCAGATTGCTCATTTGGGCTGAGGTTGTCTTGACTTGTGGTTTTTGAGGCTGCTGGCAGGAAGAGGGGTGACACACTCTATCTCTCTCGGTAGCAAATGTCAATTTGGGACTTTGTCTGGCTTCAAAGAACTGACTATTTAATTCACCACTGCCGAACACACCTTTTGACCCAGCTGCTGCTGGGAGTAGCGATGGGTATCACCTTGAACAGCTCCTCTCTGTGGAAACCAAACTTAACCTATTGCCATAGCTCACCTCCAGTTTTGAACCTTGGCAAAACCGGATCTTGAAAATAATAATAAAGTGCAATTAAAATAAATTAACCCTGTTGCCTCAGTTCTTTCACTTTAGCAAGGCAAGAAGGGGAGGGGTATTTGTGTGGTTCTGTACGCCAAAAACCCACTCACCATTTATAGGGCACCTTAGGTGCTTCACATACATACACCCGATACGGTAAGAATTAGCACCAGTCCTGTGAGGGAGGCCAGTATTAGTAATCTCTTCGTATTGCAGGTCCGGAGGCTGAAACAGAGAGTGGCTTGCCTAAAGGTCGAATGGTGAACTCAGGATAGGCACAAGGCGGTGCCTTGGTCCTCATCTCGACTTGGAGGCCAGCCTCTGCATAAAGATTTCCCGGGAAGGAGAGCCCACCCCATGCTGAGGCAGGTAGTCCCACCACTGAACAGCTAATACAACTTGAAGATTCTCCCAGTTGAGCTGTAAGCTGTCTGCTACCTCTGATCGCTGGCTCTAGTCTTTCCTACTAGAACAACCAGAACCAATCTGCTGCAGCTTCTGTGATTGAAGGGGAAGCTCTGGCTCCCAGGGGCCACCTGCAGCCCTCCTTCTGATCCCCTTGAATCTCCTCAGTACAGCCACCTCACTGGCTCTACTTCATACATTCACTGAGCTGGGATTTTGTTTGCCAGCCTGGAATGAGGCCCGATGTTTAGATAGATTCCACAAAGCAGCTTTTACAGCATGTGAAAGATTACATAAAATGCAAAAGTGAACACTTTTTATTTATTACATTACAGTTCTATCCCACCTTCCAAAGGAGCCCAGTACAGCAGACAACAAGGCAATAAACTGACACACAAAAATTTAGAACACCTAAAAACATTTTTTTTTATTAGCCACCTCTCCTCAAGATATCAACAGGGATGTTTCAGTACCTCCTGGAATGCTAATGATCAGGGAGGCAGGCAAACCTCACACTGGGGATAGAGCAATTTTGGGGAGCCCCTTTCCTGAACTTAAGGAATCCGTAAGAACTGGCCTGACACACCTCTGTAGTCACAACCTACATTTAAAGCACTCTGATGCAGCAATAGTTATTTCTGGGAACTGTAGGAGACCCATTGTTCTGTTCACAGTTCAACAGTGGGCAGAGTTCCCTGTGAAAAAGGGGTTTGTTACAAAACAGCCAGGCAATTGCAGCTCTTTCAGGGATCTCCTAACTGCTTCCTGTGGGAATGGGTACCATAGTTTAAGGATGTGCTGTGTAAAGTAGTACTTTATTTTGTATGTCTTGAATCTGTTGACATTTGGCTTTATTGGGTGCCTATGACTTCTAGTGGGACGCGGGTGGCGCTGTGGGTAAAAGCCTCAGTGCCTAGGGCTTGCCGATCGAAAGGTCGGCGGTTCGAATCCCCGCGGCGGGGTGCGCTCCCGTTGCTCGGTCCCAGCGCCTGCCAACCTAGCAGTTCGAAAGCACCCCAGGGTGCAAGTAGATAAATAGGGACCGCTTACTAGCGGGAAGGTAAACAGCGTTTCCGTGTGCGGCTCTGGCTCACCAGAGCAGCGATGTCACGCTGGCCACGTGACCCGGAAGTGTCTGCGGACAGCGCTGGCTCCCGGCCTATAGAGTGAGATGAACGCACAACCCTAGAGTCTGGCAAGACTAGCCCGTACGGGCAGGGGTACCTTTACCTTTACCTTATGACTTCTAGTATTATGAGGCATTACTTGCCTTTTCCCTACATGAAAAACTTGCAAATGCTCCAACTTTTAATGGCAGTTTCCAGTTCTTGCCTTCAGCTGTTCATTAGGGCTTGCAAACCCTGGTACCATACATATACCTAGACAGATGGTCAGATAGCTATAGGTCAAGAGATCATGGCAGGGATGTAACGGCCTCTCCTATCAAATGCTGCCATAGGCTATACTCAACCTGGGCTTATCACATCACCAAAACACCAAGCCTGGGCAGGAGTTGCTTGATTACAAAGCCGGTTCCCTCTGATGCTGCTTAGAATCTGGACCCAGATCACCTTTTCTTGTTCGCTATGCTGTATTTTGGAATTGGGGCCAGCCCAAGACATTTTGGCATCTGAAGCGAACCACAAATAGTGCCACCCCCTGGCTAGGGAAGAAGGGGTGAGTGAAGTTCTGCATCAGGAATAAGAAGTGGAATAAAGATCTACCTTTGGAACAAGTGGGGGAGTCAAAGCAACCTTACCCAACTGTTGAAGTGGGACTCAAAGGCCATCATGGGCAGGAAAGGGACACTTTCTGAATCACGTTGGCTGGGTGCAGAGCGCAGGAGACCCCAGAGAGCAGGAAGGAGTGAGCCACAGCTGTTGCTCTCACCACAGCAGCAGCAGCAGCAGTGGGAGATGCATTCCTTGAAGGTTGAATCTGCTGCCTCTGTGGATCCTGATGCCCTAAGCGGTTGCCTCACTTTGTCTCCTGGGCAAACCAGCACTGCTTGGAATGTCCGGGATTATGATGCTGCCGATTCACTCTATATTTTCCCTCAATAGCTGTCTGCCTTTGCTTCTTGGTAGATGAAAGCAAAGCACTTTGGAAGCCAGCTGGGCTCTTAACAATATGCCTTGTGTGATGCATGATGCTAGATCGAAGCTGGGTTTGCTGCCAGCACCTTGGTGCCATTGCAAAGAAAATCTGCAATCCTAAGCATACTGACAGCACCTAATGCATGGTAAACCAACAGGGCTCGTTTTGAGTAAAACCATTAGAGATGGGGCTGCTGGATAAAACTTCTCTAAACCCCCAAGTAAGTCCAAACTACAATCCTGAGAAAGCATTGGATTAAAAAAAAAGAAATGTTGCTGGAAAGCTGCATACAGATGCCTAAATTACTATTTTTATTTTTATTAATTAAATGTATCCCTCTGCTTTTGGCAACTCAGAGCAGCTTAGAGAATGACTTGCATAAAAACCCTATACATAAGTTAAAACCAGGGGGAAAAGAAAAATACAGTACATTAAACCATCAAGCCATTGATAGTTAAAAGCCGAAGGCCTGGTTAAAAAGGAATGTTTTTGCCTGGCACCTGAAGAGATGTAAATATGGTACCATGCAGGCATCTCTGGAGAGAATTGTCTCTGTGTACTAAGACCCACAAAGTGCCTCTTCCTCTTGGCAGAGAACATGTCTTCCCCAGGCTGCCTTCCCAGCCTCCCTACTTGAAGAAGACCAGCGCAAAGAAGACTGAGACAATGAGGAGAATGATGGTCACGGCGAAGCAAAGCCTCAGGTTCTCCACAGACGCAGGAGCCTCAGAGTCTCGGGAGGAGGCTCTGTGGGGAAGCTCTACCAAGACAGGGTTCTGCACTTCTTGCACATGGAACCAACTCCGGAAGCCCGGTCCTGAATGGAAACCCGTTGCTGGATACACCGGCACAATGCCACTGACAGTGAAGATAGGAGAGCCGGTCCGGTAGTTTAACTCCATGTCCAGAGTCAGGACTGAGTCACTGAGAGGCAGGTCCAAGGCACCCGGGGAGTCTTTGCTGTCTCCCAGTTCCTCTCTGTCCTCCAACTTCCACTCTCTCTGGGGAGCTATCTCACGCAGAAGGGCTTCATCGTTCCTCAAGGCCTGGAGCCCCGCTTCCGGCACAAGGGTCACCATGCGGCAAAATGGGCAGACCACGAAGGAGAAGGCCGTGTTCTGGCAAACCAGTTTCCTCAGGCAGGCTAGGCAGAGCGAGTGGCAGCACCATAGCAACTTTGGCACTTGCCCACTCGAAGCCTCCTTGTAGGCCTCGTAGCAAATCCCGCATTCTACCATACGCGCTTCTGGCTGCAAATCAATGGCAGGAAGCAAAAGCGCCATCTCCTCTCTTTTCTACTGCCTTTGAGATGGTTTCTTTGCCAGCTCCCCTGCTTCAGGATTCTGACTGAGAACCCCAAGACCACAAAGCCAGAGACCCCTGAGACTCAGGAGCCCTCTGCCTATCAGCTCAAATAGTTCAGAATCCAGGGACAGACTCCTTCCAGGTGGCTTTCAAAGACTTCTGACCCAGCTAAATACCAAGGGCAGTGCCCCAGTGTGCTAATTGAGGGCTGCTGGCTGGCAGATAAGGGCGGGATCTTTGTATTCCAAAGCGACACCAAGGCTGAACTTTAATCCTTAATTGATGACTTGTTAACAGAAACCGGCTTGTTTTGTTTGTGAAGGGATCTCTCTCCATGGAGCTGGGGTGGGGTCAGTGCTGGGAACTGGCTGTGAGGCATGCCAGCCTAGGAATATCATTCATTGCTGTTGTAAACAAAAATTGCCCTTTTCCCTTATGGGGTAATCCAAGAGCCCATATAGAGTCCTTACGCGGGTTCCCTATTGGTAGGAGAAAATAACAGAGGCCAACCAGAGAATACTGAGAAGCAAAGCAGCTAGTAAGCTTGATCTTTATTGATCTGTTGCAACAGGGTCCTTGCTCACCACACGCAGGAAGGAGGAGGAACCCAGAACAATGGCGCGCAAGGCCTTATATGGACTTTTGAAATTGCCACCCTGTAGATCCAGACCACCCCCAAAAACATCATACATACATCACAGAAGGGGTGTAACCTAAGATCACCCCTCAGATGCATCACAGAAAAGGCGGTCTAAAACAGAAAATTTGAATGTTGTTTTTCTCCTGTCCTTGTTTATCTCCTGTCTGGCAGGTTACTTGACTGGATTGCCTGGGGAGCCTGGCCAGTCTTTTGTAGTGATAAATACTTAGTTCCTGGGCCATGCCACAGGCTCACACCCTATTCATATCTTAAATGTGCCCTTAAGACAGGATTTGTGAGGAAAGAGACAATGGGGAGGTTTCCCACTTTGACCTTGTAAAGAAAACATTTACTCAGTTTAGGAATCAAAATGGTTCCAGGTGGTCTTCCTGTGCTGATCTATGTACGTGCTTGGTTCTTATGAACATTACCATATATCTAATGAACATTACCATATCTAAAATTCCTATCACATTGCTTCACAGATTAAAAAAAAAAAACAAGAGCATGCTACTTCCTTCAACCACATGCCCTCCAACATTTCTCCGATGAAAATAGGGACTTCCCATTCCATA